AGTTTATTGGCGATGTTTTCTAAAAACGTCACGAATAATTAATTAAATTCTTTTTCTTAAATCTTTTATACACTTAAAAAGTTTATTGACGACGTTAAAACGTCGCAAATAATCAATTAAATTATTTTTTTTAAATCTATTATTCACGTAAAAAGTTTATTGGCGACGTTTTCTAAAAACATCGCGAATAATCAATTAAATTATTTTTTAAAATTTTTTATTCACGTAAAAAGTTTATTTGCGATGTTTTTAAAAAACGTCACGAAAAATCAATTAAATTATTTTATTTTTAAATATTTTATTCATGTAAATAGTTTATTTACGACGTTTTAAACAAACGTCACGAAAAATCAATTAAATTGTTTTATTTTTAAATCTTTTATTCAACAAAAAATCAATTAAATTATTTTTTTAAATCTTTTATTAATGTAAAAAGTTTATTTGAGACGTTTGTAGAAAACGTCACGAAAAATAAAATAAAATATTTTATTCAAGTAAAAAGTTTATTTGCATTATTTTATTTTTAATCAATTGAATTATCAATTGAATTATTTTATTTTTAAATCTTTTATTCAGCTAAAAAGTTTATTGACGACGTTTTTAAAACACATTGCAAAAAATCAATTAAATTATTATTTTTTAAATATTTTATTTACAAAAAAAGTTTATTGGCGACGTTGTCGCAAAAAATTAATTAAATCGTTTTTTTTTAAATATTTTATTTACGAAAAAAATTTATTTGCGACGTTTTTTAAAAATGTCGCGAAAAATCAATTAACCAATTCCCGCCATTTGTCCCACCAAAAAATAATTTGAAGGAAATTGCCTTTTTGCGACGTTTTTAAAAAAACGTCGCAAAACAAATTACCAAAATTGAAATTTGCGACAACATTATAAAATCGTCGCTAATAGTAAATTTTTGGCGACAAATTAAAAATCGCCGCAAAAAAAAAAAAACGTCGCAAAAAGTACTTTTTGTTGTTTATCATTTAGATTTGAGGATCATTTTTATAGGTTTTAACATGGTTGGTCCCTTTTCCATTGTTATCGTGGTCAGTCGGGTGCAATACACACGATTTATATTTTGATCTCGTTTTAACTTCCCTCCTCATCTTAATATTTGAGGAAAATTAAAAGAAGATAGATAATGAGAATTACGGATAGTATAGGTTAGATAGTGAAAACTTGAAAGTTAGAGATAGTATGAGAAATTAGATAAATGGATAGATAGTGAAGAATTATATATAGTGTGGTAAATTAGATACGTAATTACTGAGAAGTGTAAGAATTTGATTAGAAAAAATCTTATTTTTAGTTTAATAATATTAAAATTCTATAAATAAAGATGACATTGGGGGAATGCCTCTAAAAGCCCCTCTCAAGTAATCTGTTTGCGATAATGATAGAGATGATTACGACTTATATGTGTGTATGTGTTTTTAAGGCAAGATGGTGATTGGGAAAGTAACCAAATACTACTGCCAGGGCTACATGGAACATTTGCAATACTAAATATGAAAATTTGTAAAACTGAATAATTCAAGATGAGATAGAAAAGCCGACAAAAATATATGAAGATAAAATTCAAACTTTTAACTCTATTATTGTTGTCACGTGTTTATGCTAAGGATAATCGAAGAGGATAAATAAGATAAGTGGATGTAATAGAAAGAACTCAAGCAATCTATTAACAAAGGGTCCAACCAGTTGGACAGAGTGTAGGTAGAGTGAAAATGCTTTCACTAGCCACATAAAAATCTCATTCTTTGCAGTAGGTAAGTAATGTGTGTATTTATCGCACAGTGTCTATGTAGGTCAGGCTGCCCGAAGGGTTACCCTCTACGACCACCTAACACTCGGGCCAACCCACAACTGTCTTGACTACGACGATATTAGTGGCCGCTAACCGTGAGCCACGTGTCCCAACATTAAGTAGACGGGTTTGACAACAGAGGTGAAAGGGGGCTGCCAAGATTAAAGTTCGTGACTGGTCACAGCAGGTCCATGACCTCGAGAGGGCCATGTACACGATGCCCTCAGTGCGCTCCTGCCCAGGATCTTCTCTTCTCTCTCTGAACCTTTTCTTGAGACTTTTGTCGAGGTGCCCGATAGAGGAAATCCTTATAATTTTGGTCCTTCAGTCACCAATCCACATGTCTCATTTATCCCATATGTTGATTCAGATCAATAATTCCAGTTACTATAGGTGTCCTTCTGAATCCTAGTTAAGCAAATCGTAGTAGGCAGTGAGCCATACACTGGGATGCTTGCTAGAGCAGACTAAACTATCGAGACTCTACCTTAGGTCGAGGTCAACAATTATGCTCGCCCATCCCCGTTACTCAATTCCCATTGAAGAGGGCTATACTACCTTGTCCCTAGGTGGAGACCCCTCTTTTTAGTCCATTGGGCTAGTCGAGCAATGACGTCTAGTAGGTTGAGGATATCACTTCCATAGTGGGGGAGATGAGTCTCGCGGAGGTTACCCCTAAACTTCTGTGGTTCCACTTTTGTTCACCGTTGGTGAAGGGTCCATTTATCACTCTCTATACGATGGGGATATGTTTCACTCTGTTGCGATGTTGCACCCAAGGACGGCATGCCTGAGGCATCGCACCTTGGGAGTTGCACCTAGGGGCGTCACACTTGGCACCGTTATCCATACCATCTAGCTGGACTTTGTCGGGCCCTACTTCTATGTTAACTAGTAACTCATGCCATTTTTCTTTCTATAATTTGAACATGTGTTCTGCATTATCGGGTACTACACTTAGCAAGTACANTTGATTTATTTGTGGTCTTGTATAGTCTGATTTATGTCATATATTTACAGTGTACACTCAATTTTATATTTCTTGGCAATATAGGTGCAATAATGCACCTATCTCATCAGACCTCTGCAGTTAAACGTGTTTAAACAAGAGTAGTACTAGAATTAGTGACCCCTTGAGTAGTCCTTGTATTGCACCCATTTTAAAAAGAAAAAGAAAAATATTTCTCGATGATACATTTATTATTAAATCGGCTTAATATAAAAAAGTCAGAGTTAAAAAAATTCTTGGAACTGTTTGGAGTGTTTATGAAAAAGACAATTTTTCTTGGAACTCCTTGGATAAACCCCATTTTTTAGTTTTCCCTTGGCGTTGATAAAAGTTGTTTTTGCTCAAAAAAAAAAAAACTAATAGAAAAAGCCATCCATAAGCCCAAATTCAAACAAATCAGACTACTTTTTGTTTGAAAACATGAAAAAAAAAACTGAGATTTTCAACCCCCAAACAGGCCATTGTTGAATTTGTAAGTGTTTCTCACTCCAAAAATTAAACCTTTTAGTGACGGATTGTTTCGGGTATAACCTGGAATGAGACTAAATAATGAATTTGAGCCCACTTCATATTTCATTCTGCCATACATATTATGTTTGAATCAAGATTAAGATAATAGATGAATCTATCATCATAATAGGAATAATTTTTATTACGATAATGATTTTTTTTTTCTCCGTAACATAGTGCTATATCAAAACATGGCCTACAATGAAATTTTGAGTTGGAAATCCTTGATTTGAGGTCTAATCTGGTAAGGAAAAAAAAATGACATTGCATTGAAGTTCCTAGGTCCAGAGACTCTTGAGGATTAGGTTGTTGTCTAGATACAAGGCCTCTTGGATCAATTTTACATTATCAAATATACCCTAAGTTAATATGAATGTTGTAACGCCTCATTTGTTTTTGTTCCTTGTTTTTTTGAGGTCCGAGCAATATATCACGCAATAGAATACTTTGAATTTCACGTCCTAACCACTAGTAGCCTAACTCCATCAAATTGCATACATTCTCATCATCTCTCAATAATTAACATGGTTATTCGACTAATTATAACTAAAAATTGTTAAACCGAATCATGAAAATTTTGCGAAGAGCGTGGAAGACTTCCTTCTTCACTGAGAAATCAAAATCTTCTTGAAAACTTGAGTGGAGAGAGAACACCATATGGGTCTCTAGCAGCCCCATAAAAATTAAAGCCTTCATGGGCTGGTGCTCTACCTCCAACAAAGTTGGCTGTTCCAATATGACTAACAAAACGACGTTATTTTGTAAGTTAAACGGCCTTGTTTTCTTAGTGTTCAAAGAATAACTATGTCTTTTGTATGTCAGAGGAGTTACACATCTAACTAGCAATTGATCACTTGGTGGCATAACTAAAAGTCATATATATGACCAGATGGAAATTGGAGGAGAATTCCATGTCAACAAGATATAACCCTAATCATACACAAGTTTTTGATCCAAATAAATCCTAATGCAATTTGTTTTAATTAAGATACAATTCTACTCGAAATAAAATCCATTTTACACTATTTCATTCTGCATCAACTTTAGCTCGAGCTTACAAGCGACACCCATTTCACGGGTAACTACCCCCTCAATTAAAATCATGTACCACAACAGAAAGAAAAATCGTTAATTTTCTCTAATTACTTAATCCTTTTGGTGTTATAATTACTACGGTCACATAATTGACTATTTTTTTTTAATTTGAACAACGCAGAGTGCTCTAATCGAATAGTGGTGAAAGAGAATGTTTAACAGTTATTTGTGCGATATGAAATTTAGACAAAATGTTTGAAAATGTGCACGAAGAAATAAGTTGATAAATAATCCATAATCATCCATTTCTAAACGGTCCCAAAACGTTTGCCATCTTGTACATTGTTCAATGATCAAACTGTTGTCCAAGCCACTTTAATACTAAGACAGACAATAACAAACAGAAGAAGATGAAGACGAAGAAAAGTGTACCTTATCAATAATGGGACATTTTTATTAAAATTGTACTGGTAGGTTGTACATTTTCACTTGTCTCACTGATTTAGATATAAAAAATAAAGTCCAAGTGAAAAGACAACTCTCTGGTACAAAAACGTAAAAAAAACACACACTTATTGATATGCATCACAATCACACAAGAAACCAAAACCCAGGTGCAATCAAAAGTTCACATTAAGAGGCCTTCAATGTGTTTGCAACATCGAGTACAAATCGGTAGCGGACATGTCCTTTCTGAAGCCGCTCCATTGCAGTGTTCACGTAGTCCATAGAAATAACCTCCACATCGGCTGTAATGTTGTGTTTTGCAGCAAAATCAAGCATTTCTTGGGTCTCCTTTATCCCACCAATGGCACTCCCAGCCACTATCTTCCGACCTATCATTCCATACCCCAAAGAGTTGTTTGTATTAGAATGCCAGATAACAAGGTACCATTTGATAATATTTTTTAAATTACTTTGTTTTTTTTTTAATGTTTTTGATGTATTTTTTTAAGTAGCTTTTGCTTGTTTTGGCACAACTCCCTTCTTCAAACCATAATTATATGAATAATAAGATACAATATAATTGTTAAGTGTATTAGTTAAGTACTAAAAAGTAATCTTACTAATTAAATATATTTTTTACATTTTTGACNGACACGACTTATAAACTAGACATGAAATTGGTACTGGGGGAGATTGAAAACAATTCACAAGTTGATCCAAGAAGAGGATTAAGTCCAAGCAAGTCAAAATATGACAAGGCTTAAGATTCAAGGCTAAATTATTGTACAAAATAGTAAAACCAAATTTTATTTAGACTGCATGAAATTTGAACAAAAACTACAAAACAGTAACTTGTACTCCGTATATTCTTTGAAATCTCTTATTTTTTTATAATTAAGTAATTGTAAGCTAAATTTTTTGCTAATGTTTTTCTTAAATTACACAACAACAGAGTCCATATCCTTTATTTAGTTTGTGAAACTTATTTGAGATTATTCTCAATCTTGTTGAGAAATTGAATGTTTGATAAATAAGAGAAAACTTTTAGGTTACAACAGTTTATTATTACATCTAATCATGTTTTACAGCATTATAGGCAACTAACATACGGAAAACAAAAGTGAATATAAAAATATATACAATAATTTTAAAAAATAGGAAGTGTTGGATTAGATAGAAGAGTAGTGTCCTTTGGTCAATATGAAAATAGGCCAAGACATTTTACACCTAATTTACTCCATCAAAAAATAAAATATTTATTTTAGGGTGGCAATGTGTCTCTACTTGACTATTGGAACTACTTCACATTATCCTAAATAAAATGTACGATATATTTTGGATGGAAAATGACTAAATGCGTAGTAAAATACAAGTTTCTAACATACATAATATGACAATGTGAAACTAATAACCATGTCTAAAATATACCAGTTGTTATTAGTTAGGCATGTTGCTAGTACTGAATTTTTTGTGTATGAAACATTGTTTTTTCTACACATGACATTTTCATTGAGTTGTATAACTCTCCTCCCTACCATTGTACTTGATAACTATGGTATTATTCACTCTATTATTTTTTCTTTTCTCATTTGTAACATGTTTGGTTCATGATTAGAATAAGGCGTGAGTTCATTATCTTGATGCCGGTCTTGGTTGGGGATTGGGTATTAATGTATGGTATTAAATTAATAAGAAAAACTAATACTTTCATGTGATCAAATTCAATGCCAAGTCAAAGGTGCTTTTGTCATTTTTAATCCTAATATCAAATGGCATTGATGTTGTACCACCTATATCATAGGGATCTAGTTGTACAGTCATGTGATATTAGTAGACACTATAACATCGCATCAAGTCGGTATTAGCTTGTGCTATAAGACTGCGAGGGTCACGTAACTTGTTTCAAATATGATATTTACTTTGGTCTAGTTTTTTTTTCCTACCATTAATACCCGAACCAAATATACCCTTCATGAAAATTTTGCACGGAATTCACTATCATTGGAGGGTGCATGCGTACATGCATGTAAAAGGCACTACATACTATTTTTAAGACTACAACCTATAAGATTTTGAATCGAGCATCATTTATTTTAAATATAAAAGTGTTCTGACTTTTGGATCTTAATTAATCCTTATTAGTAAAAATCTGTTCCCAACCTAGGTTCCGTGGATCCACGTATTGCTATTAAAATTAGAATTATCATTTTGTTGGTTAACATTCATAAGATTGTAGTTTTAGTTGTGTCTTCTTAGAGGGAAGAGAAACCTCAAAAATAGGCCAGCTATATAACTAAATGTAAATTTAATGAAATCTGCTTAGTATTCATGACATTTTTGTTCTTTATTTTTTAAACTTTTCATTCTGATGTGATTTAAAATTAAAGAGTTAAGAAAATAATGATTACGCAAGTATTCATTGTAAACTTGTGACATTAGTCGATATGTCATTGGATTTCTTTCATCTGTTTATGATGATGATCTATAAATTAAGTTATTACAGTTGTATGACAATTGGTAAATACCGTAGAGGTTTGACAAGAATTATTATAAAATTGCATTTGTAATTTCCACATTTTCACTTCCCCCAGCTGATTTAGACTATATATCAAATCAAACTGAAGTACAAGACAAGTAGACAACACTGTAGGCAAGAAAAAAATCACACAACACATCAAATTAACTTCTTGAGGTCACCCTCTTATTGAAATCAATAGTAAACAACTCGAACATGATCGTAGAAGAAAAACCCAAGTGCCATCAATGTTCACATTAATTAGTCTTCAATGTGCTGCCATATCCAGAACAAATCGGTAGCAGACATCGCCTTTCTCGAGACGCTCCATTGCTGTGTTCACATAGTCTATAGGAATAACCTCCACATCCGCTACAATGTTGTGTTTTGCTGCAAAATCAAGCATCTCTTGCGTCTCTTTCAACCCTCCAATGTCAGTTCCGGCCACTATTTTTCGACCTATCATTCCCTACCCCAAGTCAGCTATACTGTCTTGTTCAATTTAGTTAATAAAACCAAGTTTTTTATATCAAAAACTAATGCTAGATAACTTAAAGTTGTGCAAGACCTTTAATCACAACTCTTTCCATAGATGCTAGTAAGTGAAATGCACTTACCAGAAATCAAAAGGGACACCGGTAGATCTAGCAGCTCTAATGGTCCACCGCTCATCACAAGCTTTCCATCGGTTTTTAATAAATCAATTAAAGGTTGAAGAGGATGAACTGCAGGGACGGTATCAATGATACCATCTAGTGTGCCCATTGCAATCTAGTCATATCAAACATAATAACATGAGAACTGAATACCATAAAACATTTCGATATGAAATGACGGACTCATCTGGTGGTAAAGGCTCACTTTTGTCCACAGGTGGTTGGGGCTTCTGCTCTTTCCCATCTCCACTCCATAAAAAAAAAGTAAAAAAGTAAAGATTCCTACTAATTAATAATTACCTGCATCTGATCGGGGTCACTACTGACCAAAAATGAGTCAATGCCAAGGTTTTTGATAGCTCCCTCCTTCTTTTCAGGGGATGTACTAATTACTGTCACTTTACCACCAAGGGCCTTTACAAATTTCACAGCCAAATGGCCATGTCCTCCGAGACCCACCACCCCAATGTGCATACCAGGCTTGTCAAGTTCAAAATACCTCAATGAACTGTACATTGTGATTCCTGCACCGAGGAGAGGGGCGCCGGAATCTAGAGGCAAGTCGTCAGGCCAACGAAGTACAAAGTGCTCATCGGCGACCATGTGATCGGAGAAACCCCCATGGATTATGATTCCATCAACGTAGGGGGGACTGTCTGTGAGCATTTGTTGGGGACAATAATTTTCAAGGTTGTTAGCACAGCTCTCGCATTTTCGACATGATCCCACCAGGCATCCCACGCCCACTTTGTCTCCAACATTAAACTTTTGTACGTTCTTGCCCACTTCAGTCACTACACCCACAATCTCATGCCTGCATTGATCATTTCAATTTAGATACTTGAGATATACCTCAAAAGCAAAACTATTGGTCCCCAACTAGAATTAAATCACCAAAACTATTTTTAACTTCGATAAAGTGATCAACTGGGTCTAGTCTAGTTGGTGGCTTGATTCTCTTGAGAAGAAAAACTAAGGGTCAAGGAGTAAACTTTATCAAAGTCAATGATTGAATTCTCTCAATGTCCCCCTCTTCGATGTTCGATTGAGCCCCCCTTTGGGGCTTCTATTTCACCCGCTCAATGGATTTTCTCCTTTGTTATAGGTGTGTGGTTAAAAAATTATGATGGATGCCAATAGTAACCTATCTATGTGTATGAAGAAAAAAAAATCAGTAAATGTACATATTAAACGGGAGACCGACCAAACAATAGATTATACATACCCTGGAACAGTTGGATACAATGCAACACCCCAATAATTCTTGTTCATCATAAGGTCTGAGCGACAGATCCCGCAATACAACACCTTCAATCTCACGTCCTGATCACCAGTAGCCCTACATAGTCATACCACACACATGAGCACCACCACCATCGTATCAATAAACATGGTCACTCAACCTAACTATATAACAAAAATATTTTAAAGTAACTCGAGGAAAGTATGTCATGTCACAAGGATGAAAGACTTTCGTCTCGTTAATTTATAATGAACCAGATATTTTCTTCCATTAAGGGAGAAACCCAAACCAAACCTTCTTGAAAACTTGAATGGAGAGAGAACACCAGATGGGTCTCTACAAGCCCATCCAAAAGCCTCCACCTCTTGTGATTTTGACATGAGTAAAGAGAAAATAAGAATCTTGAGTGATTTTCAGCTATGTGGCGACTTGTTTCTTTAGTGTGTGGGGAATTGTGGTTTGGGCTTTGTGAGGCTGCATTGTCCTATATATATGTGTGTGTGTGTGAGTAAGAGAGTGGGAAAGAGAGGAAGAAAATGGTTTAATATATGCCATGCGCGGTGCATGTTCAATGAAATGACAAAGTGGGGTCACAGTAGGCATTAGGTTTGTGGAAAAATTTCATAGCAGAATCAATTTTTTTTTTTTTTTTAATTGAGGGTTCATCTTTGAGCAAACTGTCTAATGGTATGGACAAATTAGATGAATATATAGAAATCCTATAAAACCCCTCGTGAGGCGCGAGGAGACATCAGATAAGATCAACTTTTTTTTGCCTTATTTGTTGTTTAGCATTTAGATTTGAGGATCATTTTTGTAGGTTTTAACATGGTTGGTCCCTTTTCCATTGTTATCGTGGTCAGTCGGGTGCAATACACGCGATTTATATTTTGATCTCGTTTTAACTTCCCTCCTCATCTTAATATTTGAGGAAAATTAAAAGAAGATAGATAATGAGAATTACAGATAGTATAGGTTAGATAGTGAAAACTTGAAAGTTAGAGATAGTATGAGAAGTTAGATAAATGGATAGATAGTGAAGAATTATAAATAGTGTGGCAAATTAGATACGTAATTACTGAGAAGTGTAAGATTTTGATTAGAAAAAATCTTATTTTTAGTTTAATAATATTAAAATTCTATAAATAAAGATGACATTGGGGGAATGCCTCTAAAAGCCCCTCTCAAGTAATCTGTTTGCGATAATGATAGAGATGATTACGACTTATATGTGTGTATGTGTTTTTAAGGCAAGATGGTGATTGGGAAAGTAACCAAATACTACTGCCAGGGCTACATGGAACATTTGCAATACTAAATATGAAAATTTGTAAAACTGAATAATTCAAGATGTGATAGAAAAGCGGACAAAAATATATGAAGATAAGATTCAAACTTTTAACTCTATTATTGTTGTCACGTGTTTATGCTAAGGATAATTGAAGAGGATAAATAAGATAAGTGGATGTAATAGAAGGAACTCGAGCAATCTATTAACAAAGGGTCTAACCAGTTGGACAGAGTGTAGGTAGAGTGAAAATGCTTTCACTAGCCACATAAAAATCTCAGTCTTCGCAATAGGTAAGTAATGTGTGTATTTATAGCACAGTGTCCATGTAGGTCAGGCTGCCGGAAGGGTTACCCTCTACGACCACCTAACACTCGAGCCAACCCACAACTGTTTCGACTACGGCGATATCAGTGGCCGTTAACCGTGTGCCACGTGTCCCAACATTAACTAGATTGGTTTGACAACAGAGGTGAAAGGGGGCTCCCAAGATTAAAGTTCGTGACTGGTCACAACAGGTCCATGACCTCGAGAGGGCCATGTATACGATGCCCTCAGTGCGCTCCTACCCGGGATCTTCTCTTCTTTCTCTGAACCTTTTCTTGAGATGTTTGTCGAGGTGCTCAATAGAGGAAATCCTCATAATTTTGGTCCTTCAACCATCAATCCACATGTTTCATTTATCCCATATGTTGATTCAGATCAATAACTTCAGTTACTATAGGAGTCCTTCTGAATCCTAGTTAAGCACATCTTAGTAGGCAGTGAGCCATACACTGGGATGCTTGCTAGAGCAGACTATACTATCGAGACTCTACCTTAGGTCGAGGTAAACAATCATGCTCGCCCATCCCCGTTACTCAATTCTCATTGAAGAGGGTTATACTACCATGTCCCTAGGTGGAGACCCCTCCTTTTAGTCCATTGGGCTAGTCGAGCAATGATGTCTAGTAGGTTGAGGATATCACTTCCACAGTGGGGGAGATGAGTCTCGCGGAGGTTACCCCTAAACTTCTGTGGTTCCACTTTTGTTCACCATTGGTGAAGGGTCTATTTATCACTCTCAATACGATGGGGATATGTTTCACTCTGTTGCGATGTTGCACCTAAGGACGTCATGCCTGAGGCATCGCACCTTGGGTGTTGCACCTAGGGGCGTCACACTTGGCACTGTTATCCATACCATCTAGCTGGACTTTGTTGGGCCCTACTTCTATGTCAACTAGTAACTCATGCCATTTTTCCTTGTATAATTTGAACATGTGTTCTGCAATTATCGGGTACTACACTTAGCAAGTACAAGGAGTCCGACTAAGGCTCTGTTACAAAATGTCTCCAAACCTTCTGGTTTGCTGCAAATCCTAGCATGTATATTTAAACATTCAATGGTACAAGTAGTTATAGCCCTCTCTAGCATAATGCGAAGATACCCTTTTCTTGCTTCCTTTTTTCGGCCCGGTCGGTCATCGGTGAGTCACCTTGACCTCTTGAACAGTTTTCAACCATAGAAATCTAAATAATATATGCCAATCTAAATATGCTACTAGTTACAATGAGAAAAAAAAATTGTTTACGTTCTTCAGAATTTGCTTTAACGAAAAAAATTTGCAACAATCAAGAACACCATTTAATGACAAATCATAATAATTAGATAGTGTTTACATCGAAAAATAACAAAATTTGAGGGTGACACGTGGAGACAATCCTACAGTTATGAAAAGGTCTGTGGGAGTCCATACTTAACATGGCGGTTAAGGAAGTGGGAATCTAAGAATTCCGATAAATGGAAAAATGTGACATCATGAGCCGTCAGTTAGAGACTGGTTCAGTCCATGTTTGCACATCTCGAGGAATAAAGGCCATGATTACAGTCATGGCTAAAAAAGATGATTTCGACGGTTGAAGACTGTCCCTATAAATAATAAGGGCAAGGCTACAAAGAATAGATCCACCATCAAACTCAACAAACTTTACATAGAGTCAGCCTGTCTCCTACTTTCTTATTTTTTACTTAATAACTTTACTTTTTGTTGTAATTAGTCGCTACAATGATCTTTACTGCTTTCATTTAATGTTAAGTATAGTACTCTTTACATTTTCCAAGTTTAGTTTACCAACTATTTTTATACATTGCAACTTTATTTCTACGTTCTAGTCTGTTTCGTTGCTGGTTGTGAAATTATTTAAAGTTCTTAAATCCTGAAGGCATAGAAAAAAACTCAAAGATTACTTTACGTCTTGTTACAATCACCTGAACAGTCATAATTTTAGAATCACACACCGGTTCGAATAGATAAAGTCGCACATATTTGAATTTTAAATTCAATTAAACATTGACACACTCGTAATTCAAAAATATGCCAAATAGAAAGTATGAGAGCATCGAAAGCACCAAAATCTAATCAGGCAAACAAGCATAAGGTAGTCATAATTAATTAAGGGGAAAATTCCTAGGAATGCATTCCCACTAGTACGACACCCCCTTTTAATTTTGTCTGGATACTCTTAAAGTTATCAATTTTGTCCGATTACTTAATCCTCTTGGTGTTATAATTGCTATGGTCACTTAATTGACTATTTTTTAAATTGAACAAACACAGAGAGAATGTGGCAAAAGAGAACATGATCACTTAGAGTGCTCTAATCGAATAGTGGTGAAAGAGAATGTGTAACAGTTGTTTGTTTGATCTGAAATTTAGACAAAACATTTGAAAAATATACATGCAAAACTGAGTTCCATCCTGTACACTGTTCAAAGATCAAACTGTTGTCCAAGCCACTTTTTTTGGAAGGTAAAGTGTATTAAAAAAGATGTACAAGGGTAATCACCCTCAGATTGTCCAAAGAAGTCACCTACGACTCAAAGACGGGCAACAAAAAACCAAAAAGTTCCAAAGAAGCCACTTGCAGTGGTAAAAATCAGCACAGACTATGCCATTTGCAAACAAAACCAGCAGCCCAAACTGGACCCAGCAGCCCAAGCTCGTCCAGCAAACAAAAACCAACAGCAAACGACATGAAGTAGACAGTCCCAAGCACAACACAGCTACAACAATCATCAAGCAGACAAGCCCAAGCTCGTGAAGCATAACAAAAACAGAGATCCTTCAACAAGCAGCACAACCCAGCAGCAACAAGCATCAAGCAGACAGCCCAGGCTCATGAAGCAGAACAAAAA